GGCTTGAGTCTCTCTAGCATTTTAAGTTGTCCTGTGCACCTATGTAAAGTGCTGTGAAAGGACATTATATGCATTTGTAAACACAACATTGATGAATTTCTACTGGATAGTAGGTAAATTAATCTATAAGGTATTACACAGTGAAACATAAAGGTTACACCCAACACTTCCAAACTGTCTTAAAAAAAATAAAAGAAAGCAAATTAGGTAAGAAATCATGCTTAAGGGTTTATATTTTTCTTTCAGTATCTTAAACCATGTAAAACCATTTTTTAATCTTCTCTAGTCTCGTCTTTGCAACACCCTTGTGCTGTGCCCTGTTTCCTCAAAAAAGGTATGTAGTCCTCTTGTTCTTACTTTAATGTTAACACTTCCAGATGCATGCAGGGTACCGCAGAAAGACACACAAATAATGCTTCCTCAAGCATACAGTCTCATTTCCCCCATAACAAATGTGATTAGCATGAGAAAATTCAGCAAAGTAGTAACTGTATTATTTATCAGCAATACATCATAGCTGAATTGGGCTTGTTTGTTCATAAATGCCTAGCAGCTTCAGAGATGCATTTATAGAGGGGTAGTGAGCAAGAAGATAGGCTTAGGGGAATAGTTTATAGAGGCCCTTTCAGACTGAGAAGGGTGGGAGTTGCAGGGTCAGAAAAAGAATCTGAACTTGACAAGTTAGGAATCACAGCAGTGATTCCTAAAGAGGCTAACATAGCCCAGGCAACACAGTGCTGTCCATTAAGTTCCTTTTAAATGCAATCTGTTTGCATTTAATTTTCAAGGGAGAACTCCCAGTTGTTAGAGAAAACAGCACTTGAGTATGCATGCTTATTTATAACCTGATTAACCTTACCCAAGTAAGAATTTTTCATCAATGAAACACTATCTCAGGACTGAAGTTGTCACAGGAATAGTATTCTTTATACCTTAAAGCCCTAGTAAAGTTTGAAGGGGTTATCTACAATTAGAGTTAGGTTCATTAGGACCCTCATTTGCACTGTGTAGTATAATTTGAACTGTCCCTCTTGCATTACTTTGGGGTTGCATTTGGCATCTTGTACTTAATTTTAGCAGCCACATGATGCAAGGTGGAACCAAATCAGTGAAGAGTAGGCAAGGGGCTGTTTTAATACAAGTCTCCATGAACTTGAGAGCCTGGTTAAAATCAAGAATTGTATGTGCTTTATAAGTTTCATAAGAAAATTAGAGTGCAGATTGTACTTAGGAAATTGCAAGTGTTTACATTATCTGGCAGCTAAATTCCCTTTTCTGGGAGCTGAGTCTTATAAAATAAATCTTTATTCAACTGAATAAGAGTCATGCAGTAAGTTAAATAAGCATATACATAGTGAAAGAAAACAAACTTTTAGAAAAGGAATCTACTATTGCAAATAAGAGTCATGCAGTAAGTTAAATACACATATACATAGTGAAAGAAAAACTTTTAGAAAAGGAATCTACTATTGCCATGAATGACCTTAAGTGACTAGATTCCAAACCTCATGACAGTAGCAGTTCAGCTGTTTGAATCAATAGAACATCCTGCTGTCATTTGACAGATCATTCACCTCAATCTGTGAGCAGAACTTGTTCACAGAAAAGGAAACACACAAGCCCACAAACAGTAAGTTGAACCAGATGCATCATCTTTCTTAGAGTCAAGTGCTTGTTATATAACAATGTTACTGTTTCTTTTGCTTAGTTCCATGGCTGTAGCACGCTTGGAGCCAGAACTGCAAGCCAAGATCCGAGAGAGCAGCCCCGAATTAGAACGTGTATACTTTAATAAAGGATTATAATTCAAGGAAGGCAGAAATATCTTTCACAGAGGATCCTGTGAACTGAGTTATGTGCCAATATAGTTGAAGAGAACTCACTTAACCTGTACTTTTGTTAAACAACTTTGATCATGCACATTATTTTATATTTAAAGACCTTTCCTCATTTTAGTGTTTGTTACAAACCTCATTTGTCCACTTTGGTTTTGATTAAAAAGTTTAACTATACATATACAAACGTTTACATAAGCTCTCAAGCAGCTACAATAATAAAAAACAAGCGCACAAAGAAAAACAGATGCTATTATATTGGATTTGCCACCTGTTCCAATAATAGTGGGGCAGAGATCTCTTTGGTAAAAGTCATAGAGCAACCGAACGAAGCTGCCACCCTCTGCCAGCAGGACGGGTAGCTGAACGTGATAGAAGGTTGTGCAGAAAGGGCTTTTTACCAGGAGTTGGTTGGAGGTTTTCCCTGTTGGCACAGAACCGTTTCTTTAAGGTAGATGTTGGAGGAGCCTGGAGCTTCTGCACAGTGTGGTACTGTTCAGCAATACAAGCTGCTTTCTTCCTCAGGTCTAATTTTACCAGCATCATGTTGTTCTGCAGTTCTGCCAGTGTTTGGTCCTGAGAAGGCAGGATATTATTTAGGTTTACCTGCTGATTTTGGCAAAGTGCCTTAGTTGAAATCCCCTGCAAGCCCCAACAAGACATTACCTGTCTGGCCAGAATGTCATCACAAGTGCAGAGGGCCTCTCGGAGCTTCCCTGCACTCGTACTGTGGCAGCACGCCCTCTCTGCAGACTGCAGAGACTCCCCAAGTTTCTGCAGTTCCGACCGCAGCAATCTGACATTCTATAGCAGGGAGAGATTGAACATAACATTTAGCTTTGAAGAGATCTTATCTTGGTAAAATTCAGTGGTATCACCAGTAGCAGCACCTTCCAAACATCTGATAAAGGTCTGTTTTGAGCAGATAACTTGCCTTTAACCATTCTTTTAAAATCATGCAGTCAACAGCTACAAATACTCTAAACTGCTCTCCCCTGCAAGAGTTCCTTTCCATAACACAATAGTGAATTTACCTTTTGTCCTTCCTCCAGCTTCCTGTCTACATCCATTGTAATAGGTTTGGCAGAGGGAGGTGGCTCCACTAATTTCTGGTATTTGCGTAGCTCTGGGAAGACACAAAAGCAGCAAGCTACAACACATTCATAAGGCTTCATTTTTTCCTCAAGTTCATTCAGCTCTTTGAGAAAAGATGCCACAGGCAAACCGCACAAAGCTTTGGACTTGTGCAGACATGGCTCATCTTCGTTCAGTTAAGCAAAGGGACTTTCTAGGTTCTGTGATTACCAGGTAAACAAGAACAATGCCATCTTGCACCCTATTCCTGTCTTCTCTCACCACTCAAAATAGTGGTTTCAGGATATCCAAATCTAGTACAAAATACTGCACTCTATAACCTTCTGCAGGGAGACCTCAAACATTGTTCGGAGCTAGTGCAGCACCACTTCATTACCTGCTGTTGCTGTATTCAGCTCTGTCTGACACTGCTCTAGTTTGGCTTTAGTTTCAAGCAGTTCCTGTTGCAGAGTGCCTGAGGCAGCCACTCGCTTTGATCTACGCAGGCCTTGTTCTGAGCCCATTGCCTTAGTATGCAGGTTCTCCAGTTTTTGTTTTTCCTCCAGCAGAGCAGCTTGGAGCTCCTCTATCTTCTCATCACGGACCTAAGAAAGCAAAATTGTTTATAAAGAACAAAGATTTCTTAACACAGCTTTTTCTCATTGAAGCTTCAGTAACTTTGTGTCCATTTCTTCCAGGAGATTTTCTTAAATCATGCATTTCACACAGGAAAATAGTTTATGTTGAGCAAATAGAGGAATTGGAATGGGGGGATACATTAGCTTGCAAACTAAGAGCCAAAAAACAGAAAGGCTGGTGAACTATATAAAGCAGTAGCCAAGAGATGTGGATCAAGCTATCAAGGAATACTATAAGCATACAAAAGCAAAACCCTTGCTCTCAGTTCACATGAGAATCAGCTACCTGGATTCAAACATCTTGCCTCCCTTCCCAAACCCACTACCACTTCCTGATGTCATTCCATTGCCCTGAACAAACCTGGATCTTCTCTTGGTAATAGTCAGTAAGTGCCTCCTTCAGGTTGTTCAGTTTATCTTCATACAGTTCCTCTAGCAACTCCTTCTGGGCATCCACGTGTTGGCTACAGAGAGAGCAAATAGCTACAGGTATCAGATCTGGCTGCTTTTCATCTCCCCGCTATCACAGTTCACCTGACTGAGGGTGATCAGAGTAAGCTGTACCTGCACCACTGCTCTTTCTGTTGCAGGTGCTCCAGCATCTCGTTGCAGATCTCTTCACGGAGGCGCATTTCTAGTTGCAGCTTCTCCTGCCGTTCTTGCACCAGCAGCTCTCGTGCTGCATCCACTATACGCAACAAGTCCTGCAGTAAGGACACAAAGCTGCTTTGCCCACACTGCACAACAGAAATAAAGCCTAGAAAAAAATCCTTGCTGATCTTGGCTCCCAGACTGAAAGAATCTAGGTTTAAGGTGCTTCCAGTCACTTGTAAAGAGAAGCTGACAGCCTTGCTCTGAATTCCTTTCCAGTGTGACTGCCTAAACACTGCACTCCAGATGGATGTGTCTCTAGAACAATTTTCTCTTCCTGCGCTGCTCAGGACAGCACTGGCTTTTGCCACCTTGGCACATTGCAATGCAGGTCTACTAATCTTTCAACTTCCATTTCTTCATCTAATCTGCATCTCCTCCATCTCTTAATCTTTCAAGAAGTTCAGCTGCCCATGCCAAGTATAAGAAAAAAAAGCATCTTTTCTAGAAAAGCATCTGTTTTGATTTCCAATCTCTAGATTTCCCTTGTGTAGCACAGAGTATGGTCTGCAACTGAGCTCTTACTATCCCTATTCTACAGATGACAAAGTGCTTCCAAATTAAGCCTGTGCTTCAGATTTTGACCAATTGTTGAATGTTTTCATGGATTCCCAGTTTCTTGGTCTAAGTTTCCCACATCCTTCTGGGGTTCTCTGTTGTCTCTATTTTTACTGGGCTTCAGCTCCACCTCCCAGATCAAAGCCAAGTCACCTATAAAGGATATAAAACATACCACTACCCACCTCCTTCTCATACATGGTGATCTCCGTTTCATCCTCACTGTCATCTTCCGATTCCACTTGTTTTGCCACTGCCTCTGGCCCCTGGCTGGTTCGCCTGCTGTGCTCTTTGATAATTGACTGTATGGTTGGAAGTCCTACCTTTGTGGGAGGTGCCTGGATAAGCTGAAGGAAAAAGGCTACAATTACTTCAAGTGCACAAAATCCAAAAGTCATGCAGTCCTGAACTGTGGTGCTTTTCTGCAGTTTGTCAAGCCTCTAATTTTAGCAGAGCTTGGAAATACTGAAGAGCCAATAATTCACTGAAGAAGCAGGGGAGGACTTGCAAGCTTCCCCGCCCTCCCTTGTGATGCAAATTGCCCCATTCCCACAGAAGTAAGAAGTATCCCAAGTATTCCATGATCCTGAGATGTACAACTCACCTGACTGGCAATGGCTGAAAACTTGGCTACGTACAAAGTCTCATCATATGTAGATGCACACTGGTTAATGTTGACAATCATGCAAGAGCGTCCACGTCCAGTGAAGAACCCCTGGAACACTCGGGTTAGCTTGCTGTCCCGGAAGGGAACCACAGTCTGCTTCAGTCTGTGGGGAGAGACAAGAGTGAGCCTGTGGAAAAGCACAACAGCTTCCCACCCATCCTCCCATGATGTCTTCAATACTGACTTGGACTGCTGGTTCTGGCGGAGGGCAGCAATGCAGCGGCCCAGCGTGTGCAGGGAGGTGTTGATGTTATTTGCCTCTTTCATTCGGTCCCCACTTTTCTGGTCCTTGCAGCGCTCCGACCCCGCAAGATCACACAGTGACAGCCTGAAGAAGAGGCAGGAGATAATATGACCCTCTGGGTTTGCCATGTCCTACCCAAGTTTAGAGATCAGACACCCTGTGATTATCTTATCCTGCTTACTCTCTTCCAGCTTCCTTAGAGTTCAGGAGCACTTTTGCAGTACAGATCTTAGCATGCAGCAGTATGTTATCTAAATTGTAGGACTCTACCAGGTGATAGTGTGATAGCTTAGTAATAGCTTAGTGGTGCCAAGTTTGAAGATCATCTGTCCATCTTCAGGACAGAGACTTTTCCAGGTACTGGGTCAACTCATTTCCACATAACTGCTTCCCAAGAACAGGCACCAGCAGCAATCAAACCAGTTCCAGTATAAGCACAAAGTTACCCACATTCACCCTTATTGAGGGAGCCTGAAAACTACCAAGTTGTACTTGGCAGCACTCCTCAAACTCCTTCCCATTGTCAGTTCCAGCACTTATAATGGGAACATTTGCTCCTTCCAGGCACTTAACTATATCCACCTCAGGACATTTCCATACCAGATCCATAACCACAGCAGAGAAATAAAAAAAATGAGTACACAGTAGCGAAAACACAATCCTAAAGGGCAGAAGACTCACTCGCTGATTTTGGGAACAACTTCACTGCCACCTCCTTGCAAGTGCAGAATCCGAATAGAGAAGACGCTGTGACTGTAAGAAGAAAGACAAAGATATTTAAAGATGGAAATACTGTCTGTAAAAGCTCCTCAGAATTGTATGAGTAAGTCTAAGCACACTGTTCCCTCCCCAGACCTGCGACTGGAGTTCTGGTTCATGTGGGTACTAGCAAAACTCTGTTTTTTCCGACCCAGTTTCAGGAGCTTCCAGGCCTCATCAGCATTACGGACATTGATCCAATTTAGATCTGGAAAAGCAGACATGCATTGGACAAGTCATTGAGGAGACTAGCAGAGAAATAGTTCACAGTCCCAACTGCACTGATGCATTTCCTTATCATTAAAAACCTCATTTCACCCTACCTAGACATCAGAAACCTAAGGGGTCACAGCACATCCTCCCCAACACATACCAGCTAAGCCACCAACTCGGTCCATGGAGTCCCCCAAGTATGATCCACCCAGGCCCACTTCTAGCATCTAAATCCCTAAATATTTTTCAGGCAAATGTACCTTTCACATAGGGGTTACCAGTCTGGTCTTCACAAAGCCGCAGTGTCTGCCTCTTGTGGTTCTGGCCCGGTGGAGTTGGTTCTAACAAGTCATAGATTAACTCATTGTAAATCTCAAAGAAGGACACCCAGATGGAGAACTGCACATCTGCTGTGGTAGCGAGTGAAATACGGTCCAGGTCAGCCCAGCGAGGACCCAGTTCTGGGGAAGAATAAGAGGAAAATGCAGGATTGCTTCTTTCACAAGTTTAAGCTGAATAGCTTCACTAGAGGCTGAGGTATCTTTCCTCAGCAGAACTACCCCAGGCTCAAATCTATTCTATAGTCCCCTGTTTCAACTCAGGCATCCTCTAATGCCTATACCCAGGCAGTCATTCTAAGCTTCCCTTTAGCAGCATCCCCCTTGCTGTATAAGGACTTTCTATATGCTTGATCTCCACTATAGAAGTACAGGGTATCATAAACAGAAGCCCCTCCTGGACTAAGTTATAGTCCTGGTTACCTTGATGACTCTTTCTGGACATCCAATGAGCTAATAGCTCCTAGGTTTAACAGTCTAGGTACAAGTGCTCAAGGCAGCCTGTCACCTTAGGAACCCTACTATCCACCTATCTGCATAGCATGCTGCAGATGCTCAGCTGCTCAATAAGCTTATCTATAAATGAGTCAAGTTTCAACTAATTTTTCCATTTCACAAGGCTTTGTTATTAAAACATTGTCAGCTCTTCCTAAACTAATAACACATGCACAGTTCTTCAGCACAGAGATCCTCATCATTCTCCTACAAAATTCTTGAGCATGCAGAATCTTCCCTTCCTTACACACCAAATAAGCATTCCTTTCTTCCCCCAGCCCCCAGTTAAAAGCAACAGTTCAAGCATAGGCTGCCACCTGCACCTTCTGTCTGGCTGAGGTCTGAATGGCTGGTAAATTGACTGGATGAAGAGAGCCCAGCAACTCCACTGTCAAAGCTGCCACTTGTGGTGGCTTGAAGCTGGGATTCAGCACTGTGACTCCTCTTCAGTGGTGTTAATAGCTCCTCCTGAAAGAAGCAAAGACCATGAGTCTGCAGTATTAGCACCATCTCTTTTCTGTTAAGATAAGTGAGCTAGGAGGAGCATGCTCACCTCCCACAGACCCCCCCGCAGCAAGGTCTGTTTCCTGGTCTCTTCCTGCCGAGCCTGCCGGCTGTCCAGCCACATCACCTCGCTGGAGAGTGAAGGTTTCAGATCCATGGCTTGATACAGTTGGTCCCCCACACTATTGAAGATGACTGCTAAGGCCCGAGGCAGAATCCCACCATCTTTGATGGTACCTGAAGAAGTAGCAACCACAGCAGGCTGAGAACTCAGCATACATACACAAGCAGACAACTCCCTTAACATGCCACTAACATCTAGTATTCTTCTTACCCTGAATAGTGTGAGTCTTCCCTGAATTGGTGATGCCATAGGTGTAAACCAGCCAATTCTGCCCATTCAGTACATCCTTTACCACCTGCTTCATTGTAGCATCAAAGAACAACTTCTGCCCCACATCTGGCCCAAAGATCTGGGAACAAAACAAGGAAAATACCTAGTTTCACATGGATCTTTTCTGACTGCCACTTGTTCAAGTGATACCACACACTACTACTGTCCCCTCTGCTTCCCCCACACCATGAACCTAGACCCAGCAATCACTCCAGGCTAAGTGCTTAAAAAAAGCAAGCAGATCACTTCATGAGCAAAATAAGTTTGTCATTTGCTGCCAAAAAAGGCTGAGACACTTAAAAACAAAAAGGCAGTAAAAGGTTGCACAAACCAAAAAAGGTTGAGACTCTTAACAAAAAGGCAGTAAAAGGTTGCACAAGAGAACAGCATAACCCACACTGGTATCACTGATCATTAACTACTCAGCTTTTCTATCTGTAATGGCCGTTTAAGCTCAGAAAAATTCCAGGTAAATTGTTTGCCCCAGCTACTTACCTGGGTGAAAGTGAATTTATGCACTGCGTGTCCCACCCCACGTTCGGTGTTCTTCATGGTGAAGGACTCCTTGGGGGCTTTTAGAAGCAGAGTCTCCGAGTTCTCAATGCAGACGCAGCCCTGAAAGACCAGTTAAATACCATCACCTCAATGGCGAAAGGATAGCTCCTTCAACGAGCTCTTAGTCTAATTAGTTCAGTGTCTTACCTGATCTTCCCCCTTTTCCAGCTCTGTAGACTGCAGGGGCCGAACTCTGAGATACACTTTTACTTTCCCATTACTGTCTTCAGCTGCAGCCTGCAAAGTCAGCACAGGTTAGATGCGTTAGCCAGAGAGGACTCAAGACCATTGCACATCAGACTCAGAATCCTAATGTGAACCACAGGACAGATCACATGTGGCTGCCCTGACCACTGCTCAGTAATCTCTAGAGCTCCAGCAACACCAGAAAACT